TCATATCCAATATTAAATAATAACAACAACTAATAATAAATAAAAAAAACCAAAATTTTAAAAACTTGAATTATTTATTATCTAATTTATTTAAGACTAAACAAATTATACTATTAAAATAGCAATATATTATATATGTATTTATACTAATTCAAAAAAATATAAAATTCTTAATCTAAAAACAAGTTATAATATTTACAATCAAATATTTTATTACTTTAATTAATTCTTTAATACTATATCTATTCAATAATGTATACCTTTATTTTTAAATTTTCTATATTTATCATAACAATATTTTATATATTCTTGTCTTTTAAAGTTCTTTATAACCTAGCTAACTAATCTGAAAAAACTTTATTTAACTAAACAACATATTTACTAATTCAAAATGCATGGCTTATTTTTTTTACTACTATTTTAAAACTTATATTTAAATCTGCAATAACAAATAATAAAATTAATTCTAGTATAGTAGTTAGATTATCATTCTTTAAGCAATAAGTTTAGAGTTTAAATTCTATTAACAATAAAATTTTAAAAAAGAGTTCTATTCTGGCAACTTGATTAGAATATTTAAGATTGTAATTTTGTAATTTTAGTTGTATTAAGACTAACTTTGAAAGTGTACAATATTATATAAATAAATTTAAAAAATATATACTCTATAAGAAGTCTTATTTAGAAATTCTGAATAGAGAAATAATATAATTTTTAACAATACTATCTATAAAAATCTTAATCTGAAAATAAAAATCTAAAACAGGTAATCTGTATAGGTAAAAACTCTAAATAAAGAAGTTTACCAACCTGGTTACTAATTAAACCAGATATGAAGTCACATTATACAAAACTAATTAGATTAGTAATATAAAAAGACTTGCAAGAATATACAAGATACTGATGAGAAAATTCTGAAATTCTATGAATTTTACAAAAAAATAACAACTTAAAAGTTACTCTAATTACAATTATTGATTTCAAAATAGGCATGACGATCTAGTAAAGTAGTCAGGTTGTTAACCCTCCAAGTAGTAGGTTGGGTGTTCAAATCCCATTGACAGTAAAAATTTGGATAATCACCTATGTATTATTCGTATTATGGCAACTGTTACTAATAATTGAGTTAGGATACCTGTAATGGCAGTCGCACTAGCAGACTGGTAGGTCATGGGACATTTGTGCAATATTAGAGTTACATAAAGGAATGCAAACCAACAAATCAGGCAGTGCAAACACTAGATAAGTCCTTGTAGTCATGTAAATCTGTTGAAATTGGGTAACAAGAAGTCTATTTGGGAAGATCTGAGTAGAGAGGTAGCTGAATCTTCAATGGCCCTACTGTAAAGGCTAGCCTGGCGAAATGAATACCCAGGTCTAGTACCCAGTCCTAGTAGCTGAACAGGCAAGAACCTCTGGGTTGGAAGTCTCAGAGATACTACCAACTAGGCTGCTGGAATGAATCAGAAGAAAAGGATATCAGACTGATCTGATATACCAATGGACTGGTCATAGTCCTACATGGGTTATTTGGATTAGGAGTTTGGTAAAAGGGCAGGGAAAAAAGCAGAAGTATACTAAAGTACTGAGGTTATGCTATAAAGTAGATGCTGGGGTCTAAGTGAACTCTACAAGGGCATAGCAGTTTCATAGTTAACTCTAACTGCAAGTGTTGGTTCTGCTATAGCAATACCTAGGTCAGCTGTAAAAATGGGTATAGAAGGCTCTGGGAGGTTTACCTTGAGAATAAATTAGTCCTAAGGTTGAGGATGATGATCTGGTACATCTAAAATGATCAGTGATATTAATATAGGTTACAGGTTCAGAGGATTTAAAGTGGAACACCCAAGCAGGGGTGTTAGGTATGGCAATTAGTAGGGACCTTCAGATGGACTCCTTAAATAGGTAATATAGAAAAGTTACACATGTAGCAATTGTACACTCTCCTGTAGTGGTTCATTAAACCACAATACCAATAAGTGATTAATAAAAGTCAAAAAGACCAAAGAGGTCACCTTAATACTAAAAAAAAAAAAAAAATTATTGATTTCAATTATAATAATATTAGATTAGCTAGAAACTTAAATAATAGAAGCCTTTGATAAGTTTAATACAAAGTCAAAAATTTTATATATAAATAATCTACTTTAAAGACCTAATGATAATAATATATTTGTATTATTAAAAACTGAAGCAGTTAGTAAAGTAAATAAATAGATAATATAGAAACCAGAGTATTTAAATAGATGACTTACAAACAGGTTCTAGATATAGCAGCTAGTATAAAACCTTTGAACAGACTATTTAAATTAGACACTAATTAAAGTTATATAAATAACTAGTTGTACATTATTTTTATAATTGTTCTTCATAGTTGTTGTAATACAATTACAAAAACTGAAACATACTATTAATAAAAGTTTAAGTTACAAGTACTTATCTTTAATATTAAATAAAATAATAATAATAATAAAATTATTAATTTCAATTTTAAAGAAACACTAAACAAAATCTTTTTTCAAACAAGTAATTACAAATCTTAGTTAAAATTATTGCCTACTATAATATTACTTAAATTTCTAAACCAATTATTATTTAGTTTAAAAAAAATTTCAACAAATCATACTTTGATTAGTAAAATATATTACCAAAAAACTTAATATTTCTATACTTACAATATCAGAAAATAATTTTATTTAAATCTTCAATATATCCAAAATCATTAATAAACTCAATGATAACTTTTTTATCTAACTACATTTTTACTTTTTGCTTACTTTACCTATCTATTTGCTTATTTATTTATATTATTTTTTTATTTCTCTATTTGCTTATTTTATTTATATTATAGTTAATGAAATCCATAAGTAGCTCACTTATGTATACTAGAGTAATAAACATTACTTAGAGAATTTCAACTAATCTAGGTAAGTCTTGACTACTTCCACTTTAATCAGTTCAAGTTACAGATAAAATTTAAAATTTTCCTATCTGAACTTTTATTCTTGTATGTAATTTTTGTTTTTTATTTGTACTGGTATAAATAAGTATTAACTTTATAATTTTCTAAGTATAAGTGGTTTAATGGTTAGCCCTGACTACGAGTGGTTGTATTAACAATTGTGTCTTAGAATCTTTTTGTTACTATAAATATAAAGATACGAGCAAGGCCTCACCTTAACACCAAAAAAAATAAAAAAATAAATTTATTTATGATCATTTTTGGTTGATCAATTACAAATGTAATATGGTTTAAACTTTTATTATACAATATATATAAATAAATAAAAAACTGGGCTTGATGCTGTGAAAAGAAATGAAATTAACAAAAAAAAAACTTTTGCAAAAAAGTAGATTTTTATACGTATTATAAATTCTATAAACCTTTAAAGAATTATACTGCAAAATTTTTTAAGATAATATCATGTGTTCCTTAAGTGAAAAATGGTAGACTAATTTTAAATTAGTTAAAAAAAAAATTTAAAAAAGTTTACAATTTTGTCCCTTTTCTCAGCACCTAGCCCAACTAATAAATTTTACGTACGTGCTAATATATTTTTATTAATTACTACATAAGGAAAGAGGAGTATTATGGTGTTGCTAAAATTTATTTTATTTAAACTCTATAATAGAGAAAAGCAAGTTGTGTTTGCATATCATTTATTTGATGAAAAATAATTTTATCGTTTCTGAGGTAAAGTGATGGATCGACGGATTGACATAAAGTATTTACTCGCTCTATATAGTATAGTTTGGTAATTCAGTGATTAGAAGTGAATGTTTCTATATCTTTCGATTCATCTTGGTGAGACAAATTGAATCGATAGACTCTATTTGATAGACCTCATGTTAACTTCGATCTACCACTTTACCCACCGCAATATTACCCCTTTTATTTTATAAAAGTCAAAATGTTATTTAATAAATCAATATTAGAATATTAAGTAGATCCAAATATATATTCTAAAAGCTTCATAACTTTTTATTGATATATTTTATTATTTGTCTTACAAAATACTGAGAACCGGTTAAAATTTGGTTCTGAACCAAACCACGTTTAACTTAGGTTTGGAACTAGTTATATAAAACCTGGTTCTTAGGATTTTAATTTGAAATCTAAAGGTTTTAAAACCTAACTAACTTTACCATTCTATCAACCACCAACGCTCTGGATGAGGGTGATATTATCTCCTTTTAATAATATTCGGCCTAATAAATTTATAACAATAGTGATTAGTGATGGTAATTTACTATTAGTTTTACTTGAAAATAAAACTTTGTAAAGTAAAATAAACAATAATGCTCATGTGAATTATCAACCCAATGTTTTTCGAGTTTTTTTCTTGGTATTTATTTCTTCACTGTTGTCAAGTACTAAATTCATAAATTCGTCGAATCCCTAAATTATTAATGAATTAGTGATACATTACAATCTAGTGATCGATCGTGATAAAATTCTATTTACAATTATTTGACCTTCAATCCGCAAATCCACTTGCTCGTATAACCAAATTTGTACTCGTGTTTTCTGGAACATGTAAAATTAATTATGTCTTCCTAATATATTTGGTGATGTTATAGGCCTGTGAAAGGCTTGACATACACTTACATTTTGAAGATATTTGAAGATCAAGTTCTAAAAAACGGGTTATTAAAAAAATTTAAAGATCAAATTCTAAAAAAATTTTTCGTTAAAACTTGAAAGGCGCGATTAACACGTAATTTAAAAACCATTGCTTACTATGGGTTGGACCATAATCTTTTGAACTTTGGTCGCCATGGCTGCTGTCTCAAGGAAATTTGAACTTTTTTAAAACTTTGCTTTTAACGCTAAGTAGAAAACCCGAACTTTGTATTCCTCGAGAATTTATATGTACTGTACATACATATATATCTGATTTATGATTGGGCAATGATTTAGCCCAACCAAAAAATCACATGATTAGGAATTTGCGTCTATTGGAGATCATGGTCTCCGACTATGACTTTTTCGTTCAGAAATGAATGTTGATAAGCTTTTCAAAATTCCTTCAAATAAGATACCTAGTGGAAAGAATAAGCGAAAACTTTCTGCTAATCCTAACATAGAAGTACTAAAAGCCGTACGTTTACATAATGAAGAACAGGAGGATGAACCTTCCGTAGAAAGCAGTGGTAGTTCGAAGAAAAAAGTTGTTCGAATATCAGACGAAGTCGAGGAGCAAGAGTATTATATAGATGATTATTATGAAGAAAATGAAAGACAAGAAGAAGAAGAAGAAGAAGGGGGTCGGTTTTATGGTGGTGGGCTTACTGAAGAACAAAAACGTATTTTGGACTTGGTAGATCAGGTTGATGTTGAAGAGGTGGGCCGCGATATTTTCGCGTTCGTTTAATATTGTTTTTATACAATTGATTTCAATTTATTTTCTAAATTAAAGTCCAAAATGGTTTAATTCCCAAGCCAGAAGCTTTAGATGTCGCAGGCGTTCGTAAAATGATTCTTAAACTTGAAAAAGCTATAACCAAGAATCAAGAACTTCGCGTCAAATTCAGCGATGATCCAACAAAGTAAATGATGATCCTTTATGGCATGCTATTAGGAAATGAATATAGTATTCTTCTTGTCGGATTTATTTTATAATTCTTATAACAACATTACAGGTTCATGGAATCTGAAGCAGATCTTGATGAAGGGATCAAGCATCTATTGACACTTACCGAAGTACCTGACTTATATTCTCAAGTTGTTCGGATGGGTGCCATACCGTCTATTGTTTCACTTTTGAGTCATGAGAATACAGACATTGCTATAGACGTTGTAGAATTATTAAATGAATTGACAGATGAAGACGTAGTTGCAGAAAATGATGAAGATGCTATGAAAGTTTTCATTGACTCTTTGGTAACATAAGGCTTTAATCAAATATTACGTGTTAGGTTTAATTGTATTTATATAAATATTTATTAGCGGATATATGTGTACTTTCATTCTATTAAAGCTTGAAAACCAAGTATTGGAACTTCTTATCCAGAATCTTAGTAGATTAAATGAGGAAGAATCAAATGATAAACAAGGAATTTTCAACACATTAGGTATGTGTTAATATCACCTGTTCTGGGAACAAATATAGTATAGGTGATCCCTGTTATAAATTAATTGATTAATAATTGATTTTATTAGCATTTTATTTGTTCCCCTATTCTGTTATTACTAGCAAATAAATATGATACTAAAAATATTTATATCGAATTAGGTATAATTGAAAATTTTACGTCATTTGATCCATCATTGTCAGAGAAACTTGTAAAAGACACCAATATATTACAATGGATACTGACGCGAATCAAAGCCAAATCATTTGATTCTAATAAACAATATTGTAGTGAAATATTAGCAATTTTATTGCAAAATAGTCGAGGTACGCTATAACTTTTTTCATGTAATTATTATTTATCAACATTTTACTACATGTTTATTTATATTATACAGCCAATAGGTTAAAATTAGGTGAATTAAGTGGTGTAGATACGTTGCTACAAGTTTTAAATGTAAGTTTCAATTCTTTACCACCTTAAATGTCATGCTTAATTATTAGTTTTAAAAATGTTATTTAAAATTATTAGGCCTATAAACGTAGAGATCCTAAAGATGCAGATGAGACCGAGATGATGGAAAACTTTTTTGACGCATTGTGCTCAGCATTAGCTGAGCCTGAAATTAAACAAAAGTTTCTCGAAGGGGAAGGGGTCGAGTTAATGCTAATTATGATGAAGTAAGCTTTAATGATTTCATAAAATCGCTCTTTTGGTCTCAAAAAATGACAATGATTTATCGGTTTGATCTTTAGGGAAAAAATGATGTCGAGAATGCGTTCTATTAAAGTATTGGATTATGCATTATCTACACCAAACGGAGCTAGTAGTTGTGAACGATTCGTAGAGATATTTGGATTAAAAACACTCTTTTCTACTTTTATGCGCAAGGTAAGGTCCCACGAACTGCTTTTTAAGCAAAAAAATATTTATAACATTGAGACAAATTTAAAATTGAATAGGGCTTAAAAAAATTCAAAAAAAATTACAAATCGTTTTCGGAAGCTGAAGAAGAAGGTAATCAGTATTATTGTGGTACGAATTATTGTTTTTTGAAGCGTGATGATTAGAATATTTATGTTTGTACTCTTTAGAGCATATAATCGGGATAATAGTATCATTATTAAAGAACCTACCACAAAACAGTGAACACCGATTAAGGTTATTTAGCAAGTTTATTGAAAATGATCTTGAAAAAGTTGATAGGCTACTTGAAATGAGAGAAAATTATGAATTCAAAGTTTCAACTGTTGATAAGGAAATTGAAGAAGAAAAGGAGGTAGGTCCATTATTTTCTTTGTCTGTCTTTGTTCATGTTTTTAATATTGTATGCACTAATTGTTCTGCCAATAACATATATGGTTTAATTACGTAACATTGTCAAGGCATTAGAAGATGATGAGATCGATGAAACGTTGGACGAAATATATTTGAGAAGATTAAGCGCAGGATTATTTACTCTACAGCTTATTGATCTCACGATCGCATGGATTTGCTACGAAGAACCCATGGTTAGTTTGCTTTGTTTATTATTAAAAGGGAATACAATCACCTAATACTAGTTTTAGAAACCAAGACAATAATTGTAGTCGATGCTATGATTATAAACGCATCATGCGTTAAAAATGTTTTCGAACAATGACTTTTTTTGGATTTTTTTTTTGGATGTCACTAGCTTAAAGAACGTGTAACGATCCTCTTGAATCGTACTGGACAGAGCACCGCAAATGTGAAAACCGTATTGGAAGGTAGGACTGATTTTTTAGTTTAAATCTTGTTTGCTAGCGCCGACAAATTTTACTAAGCTACATCGATTGGATATCAAAACAAATCGGATAAAGTAATAAACTTTTATGTTATACCTGATCTTGCAATTTGATTGGTCAATAAATGAAAATTTGTCGGTGCTACAGGGTATTTCGGTTTTTGTTGACCTTTTTAGGAAATAAATCCTTGTATTCTAAATTTGGATGTTGTAATATGTTAACCTTCTTTATGTCGCAGAATACCATAAAAACATGGGCGGCGATGGTGATCAAGTTAAGACTGAAAATATGGAAAAGCAAATGATTGAAACTCTGATAGGTTCCCTATAATATATATAGATATTTTTTTTTTTGCTTGGATTATCTGTGTTTGATTAAGAATGGGATCATTTGTTTCAGCATGTAATAAAGATAAAGATTTAACGTCATTCAGTATTATTATAACTAAGTTTACATTGTATATATCTCGTGATTTAAACAATGAGTGCATGCATATCGTTAAATAAATTACTGTAAAACAAAAGCGCCAAAATTCTATGTAATTGAAGATTCGTAATCTAGTATTACGATATTGAGTTATATTTGTCGCTCATCCCAGTTAATTTGACGATTATTTCTTTGTATTTACTATGTCTTTGTTATGCAATGTATTCCATGCTTCCCTGGACCGTTTTAATTCAGTAAACAAGGTGCTAATCTGTTCCATAATGGGTATCACTGATTGATAACAAGGAAAATTTAATGATCTTGTGTACCGGCCAAAATTCATTATTATAGAACGAAGGAAACAGATCGCTTGTCTTTATTTTAAACGTTATTAAAAGGCGTCGTTAGAACGGCAGGTTTTGAAGAATCGGGGAACATTTTTTGGTAGTTTGTAGGATCTCACAATTCTTGATAAACACATTAGAAAATCGGTCCATAATTTCTGTCATAAACTTCCAGGAACGTTCCTTCTTTCATTCATACATAAAAGATTATTTGGCTCTTTGTAATATTTCACGCTGGCGTGCGCATTCATTTATAGATAGATCATTTTTATCAATATTTTTAGCGTGAAAGTTTTTTTTTTTTCCTTGAAAAAAGATGATCCGTATGATTTATATCACGCCCGCAGCCTTAATTTTTGTCCTGCTCACATCATTTTGTGCTAATGTCCAAGCTGATTTAACGTTATATCAAGATTTTATTAGCGCAAATGCAACCAAAATTAATAATTCAAGTTCAAAAGCTGGATTTTATTACACTGCAGACAATTCAGGATTGCAATTAATAACAGGTTCTAATGATCTTGCGGATAATGTTATGGTTCGTAACTTTTTTAAAAAAAATTTCAAAATTTAAAATCCATTTAAATTTCGACCTAATAATTTTCATAACTACGTATTTTAGGGTATATTATACAATGTTGCAGACCCATGCTCATCTCAATGTCAACAATCTTTACCTGCCGTTTCAGATGCTCTTAACAACTCGAGGATAGCAGTAATAAATTTAAGTTCCAATTGTCCAATTAATCAACAAATCATTTCTGTACAAAATTGTGGCGGTATTGGAGCAATTATTTTTGGTAGTGAAAGCGATGATTCCTTAAAAAAAGATTCTGTTACTATTACAGTATTAAGAATCAAATCCAGTATGGGAAATAAGCTGTTAACTACTATGAATGATACTATAAATCAAAGTTCCGGATTGGAACTAGTTCACGTAGTAATTATTTCCTCGCAAGATAGTTATGCTAGTTCTTGGAAACTTGCTATAATTGTAATTGGTTCATTGTTAGTAGCTTCATTTTTGGTTTCCAGTAAGTTTACTTTTTTTTTTTTTTTTTATACATTGTTATTTATTAAATAAGATATTTATTAATTTATTTTTTAAAATTTAGTTTTGATTCACTGTCGTTTATATCAACTAAGACTTCGTGAACGTAACATGATGGTTGCTCAGCAAGAAGCTAATATGAATTCTAAATTACAAATATTTACATTGGATAAATCTATTGTTAAAACTTTTCCAACTAAAAAATTTCGAAAACAAGATAATGACAACCAATCCGATGACCCTTTTACATCTGTTAGCTCTTCTATTGCTTCGTCATCAAAAGATGCCAAGAATAATAATGATTATTCCAATGATGTATGTGCTATTTGTTTGGATGAATTCCGTGATGGTGAAAATTTGAGACAATTACCAAAGTGCTCACACACATATCATATTGAATGTATCGGTGTGTATAACTTCTTTCTTTCTCTAATGACTATTATTTTTTGTAAATAAGTATATTAACTTTTTTAAATCACTATAGATCGTTGGCTTACAACAAAGTCATCACTATGTCCCCTTTGTAAGCAGGAAACTGCACCGCAAGATGTAATTGATAAGCGAGAAAAAAGATTTGCACAAGCTTTACAAATTCACTCAAATCTTGATTCGATTTATGACACATCCAACAGTCGATCTAATAGACATAGTAGACACCATAGACACAGTAGACGTCATAGTAGATCAAATTCCAATTCTTCCATTTTCTCACGGATTCTTGATATCTTTGGTTTTGGAAATTCTAATGGTAATGGAAATCGTTCTCGCATGGGACCGAACAACGGAAATGTGATTGCCATCCAAGAACTTTCTCCAGCTGTCATTCGTTCTGATAATGTTTCGCGTATGGTGTAAACCTATGCTCGAAGAAATTTTTAAAAAAATCCGTGGTATCAAACACATAAAAACCATCTTTATAAATATATATATTCTTACATCATCATCATTTCATCTAAAGTTGTATATTGTAATTCATTTTAGCATTTGCATTTATATACGCACATACATAGATTTTATATAGTCAAAAAGAGCATTCGTATGTACATTGATGTAGTTTATATAAATATTATGCATATTTTAGCATTCCCAATTCAATCTGTGTCTTGATCTGTAAAAATGCACGGGTTTTCTTCATTCTATCGTTATAGTTATACATACATATATCGTCATTTCATTTCATTTCTGCAGTTATACATATTTATCATTTTCATTCTTTCCTATAATATTGTATCATTTTCCCTCTTTTTTTGGCCATTTAATTTTTGACATAATCTTTTGCCAAATATCTTTTATTTGTAATTTTCCCCACTTTAAAAAATCTCATTCCTTTCTTTTATAAGTATATGTTTATTGTTTGCCTTTGCCTGATCATTAAAAAATTACACCCGCACTTTATATTGATACCATAATCGTTTTTTTCTTTATGATAAAATAAAAATGGAGGTGAGATTTCATGAGAATGAATTATGCTCTTATCATAAAGTGACCACAGTGTTGTGACGATTGACTTAAGTTGGTTATTGGGATGCTGTTCAAAGGTGGCAGAAACGAATTTAATTCGTGGTGTTGGTTGATATGATATTGAATCTACGTTTGCCATTCCAACCTGTTATTGTAAATGTTTCGTAATTTACCACCGACCATTTTAACACGGCAATGGAATGCCGAACGTGTTGCGACACTTCATCCACATTATGAAATCGTAAATCCGGATAAAATCAACTATCCCACCTAAATACTGTCAATATTTAATGTGACCAGTACTACGTACCCTTTATGTGTACAGTATACTGGTATAACGAACGAAAATAAAACCTGGAGCTGATTTCAATATATTTATTTAAGGTTTTTTTTCAATGGGTTTTTTTTCTAGACTATAAGTCCAAATTTCTATTATTAAATTAAATTATATTTATCTTATAATAAACTCTAAATCAAAAAAGCTTTAAATAATGCTGGATATTAAAATTTTAAATTACCTATCAGTCATGACCGCGGTCGGTCATGACTAGACACGAACGCTTGATATTCCTGTATTCAGAAAAATAAATCATAAGTTTAAAAAAAAAAACGGCAGGAAAAAAAAGAAATTATAACCGTATAAGCGTGAAATAACGTCCCTTGATGTTATTTCACGATTATACGATAGGTGACAAACTCCATTGATTTCATGAGAGAAGCTTGTTGCTGTACTTATAAAAAACCCATACTATTATAGTATAATGACTTAACTAAATACCGTAATATAACGAAGTTAAGGCCACGCAAAGTTAATTTTGCACATCCGTAATCTGACTATTTTTCTAGCATAATACTTGACTGTCATAAACTATTAAATTAAAAAACTTATGGATTCAAAAGTTGGCTTTTGATATTAACTAAACAAATATTTATATTAAAAACTTTAATTTTAAAATTAAAATAACGAATAACAAATATTTCTCTAGCATATTTTTATAATTACTTTAAGCAAAGCAAACAATATGTCATTTCTTTAACCGTGCTAATTCAACATATTATTACTTAAATGATACTTAATTCTACCTTTTTTGAATGAAGATAACTCAAAGAACTGAATTTTCCTTTTCTCTATATCATTTATTCGTGAACACATATTTTTTGATTGAATAGTCGCGACTAATATCACAAAGAAAAAATTTAGGAGATTTTATTTTTGTTATATTATACTGATTTTTGAATTATCTAACATGGTTCGTAACGTTGGTTTAATATTTTGGCGAAACATTAGCTGCCCAATACGAAAGTATTGGAGCAGCATTTTGTCTCGAATCGAACACGGAGTTAATTAATTAATTGAGCTGTAAAGGTTACGTATTTGTAGAGTATATTCGATTTATAAGCGTTGAGCTTATTGACACGGTTACGTAGTTGGATTCTAGTGATCGTTAGAGTTAGTTATGGTAACGACGTAATTACGTCGTTAGAGTTTATTAGAGTAACGACGTAATTACGTAGTTTTTTGATTAGTTGATCGCTAGGACATATTTAAAGGAGGATAGGTTTTTTCACAAACAAGATAATTTCTGTTTTTTCTGCTAACCAGTTGAATAATAAATTGATAATATATTTTATATATTAAGTTTTACAAATAATTAGAAAAACTTTCATACTATTTTTAGTTTTTTTTTTTCGTAATCAGGCAGATGATCACCTCAACAGTAACAAGTCAACAGTAATAAATGTGCATATTTTACGCACAAAAACAGTAATACCAAACAAAAACAAACATCACGTTAAATATCCAAATACAGTAAGACTGATTATTCGGATGAGGTCAACCCCCACCACACTTTAAACAGTTACACGTAATTAGAATATGTTAGTAATTAAATGGATCTGGAATTTTTATATATACTAGCATTTTGGGATTGATTTTATCATATAAACATCCATACCCCAACCCGAATCCACTTAAATTCCGTTTTCACTTACGGATATATACTGTTAAAACCAATTTTTATCAGATTTGGAAGGTTATCGGTTTTGAGAAGATTGATTTTGAGAGGTTCAACAGTATATATAAATTCATACAACTAAAGCTTGATCCCATAAAACATTCATCATAACTTCCTTTTGACAATCTATAGTATTAAAAGCTCCGGAAGCATGGCTTTTCAACTAAACTCTTTTAAGCCCAAAACAAAAACAACACCTCGTATTGAATTAAGTGATTTGGTCGGTATGTCGAAAATTTGTGAAGGTGGTTCTGGTATTTATTTTAACGTTAATTTAAAATTAAAAGCAATATATAGAGAGGTAACAAGATTAGAAAAAAGTCATGATTTAAAAGTTGCCATTTTTGCTGCGCACAAAATCACGTGTATGCTGTGTCGGTATATATTTTCCCTTTTTATGCTAATTCTAAACATATCAAGAAAGTAGTTTTGGATGTAACGCCATGTAGTTTTGGTTATACCGATTTCTGGTTCCTAGTAGATATATGGGGTTGGGTCAATAGAAATGCCTGACGAGACAAAAACAAAGAAAAAAAGCGAAAACCGTTAAAAATACAAGAAACGGGCATCTAAACCTGTCTTGGAGCATTAATAAAAAAAATGTCAGGAAGACAATTTTACTTATAAAGTATACTCTAACCCTAACTCCTAACTAACCTTTATACTAATTTTAATTAAATACTCAAAAACGTATAAACACACCCATGTGGGTACAAGGCTTTAGATTCCCAAATAAGGAAATTTGGTAATATTGGTCCTTTATATTATGTAAAGAACCAAAAAAAAAATACTACTACCTCTGACCTTTTATGTATTGCTCAGTGTTCTGTTAATGCTCCAAAAGAGCTAGCTCGCTCTTAGCTGCTGTCCCAAAACCTCAAAACCTAAAAGAAACTTCGAGAGTTAAAATCTGAAAAAAAAAATTTGCTTGAAAATCGATGTTATACATAACCTTAAATAATATTCATAATTTAAGGATTAAAAGCTATTCAGCTCACGAGCTAGTTTGTTTGGGGCATTAGTTGCCTAGTCAAATTCTATATATGTTCTAAAAGCAATATCAATTTTTATTTAGGCTCAGTAAGCATAGCTTACTGCACAAGAACAAATGAATATGTCGCATGCAAAATATCGGATGACATAAATACTGATCAACTAATTTATGAAGAAGCAATTTTTATTGAGCTAAATTTCTGTGAAAACATTATTCGATTTTTAGGATGCTGTAAAGGTATTTTATTTGTGCTATTTTTTCATTGTGCTCAAATTACTATATTGGTATTAATTCTCTTATAATGTTTCTATAATTGACACAGACAATATAAGCAATAAGTATTATATTATTACAGAATATGCGGACGGTGGAGATTTGCAAAATTATCTTCGAAAATATCATCCTTCTTTGATTTGGAGGCAAAGATTGATTCTGGCTTTTCAAATTACAAATGGGTTACATTATTTGCACAGCAAAGAAATTATTCACTGTGATCTGGTAAGGTGTCTTTCAGATAATAACTTTATTAATATTTAAATCAAATTTTTTTATACTAACTAAAAATTTATTTTAGCATGATAAAAACGTTGTGATTAAGAATGGTAATGCAAAAATTATCGATTTTGGAAATGCTAAAAATATTAATGCACCAACAAAAATCCATATCGATAACGGTCTAGTTGGTGTAATACCTTATTTAGCACCTGAATTACTTAGTAGATTTAATAACATTCCCTATTCTAAGAAAATGGATATCTATAGTCTGGGCATGTTATTTTGGGTACTAACTAGCGGTCGTAGGCCATTCGATGAACAATTAAACCCTGGTTTTATAGAATGTGTTAGTTTATATAGTCTTATTATTCAAGGCAAAAAAGAAGAAATAATTCCTGGAACTTCTCAAGCTTATGTTAATCTTTATTATAGATGTTGGGATGATAATCCAAATATGCGTCCTGATATTGAATCGGTTTATCACGACTTAAAAATATTAAAGGATAAGATATTAGAGGATGAGAGTTTAAACTCTACCAAACATTAATTCTATGATCATAAAGGTATATATGCAATTTTCTTTATTTGATTTTTTTTTCTTATTAAAAAATCAACTAAAATTAATTAATTATCTATTATTATATGTTATGGTTATATGTGTTTTAATTATTGCCATCAGGTATTATGCATATTTGTTATAATTTATGAAATTAATATGTAATCTGATACATCGCAGAAGTTTTTATGATAAGATACCAAAAAACAAAACAGAATTGTAAAATTATTCACTAATATTAACTTTCATTGTAATTAAATAAGTTTAATACGAACAGAAATCATGTATTTAGAATTTTTTTTTTTAGAATCTAGATTAGCAAGTTGGCAATCTCATGCTATTTTGGAAATAATGGCAGGGCAAAAGAAAAAAATTGGCAAAAAATTAAGATAATATAATATTATGTAATATTAGAACTTTACAAAAACTTTTAAATTTCGAGTTATGCAATCATTTGGCAATAAAATCATTATCTAGTACTTTATAAAGCTTTTAACAAATTGGGAGTTCGATTCTAAATTAGTAATATATTTTTAATATTTAAGATCTATTAAGCAGCAAATTTTTAGTTTTTTAAAAATAAATTAGAGATTTTATCTTGCTTAACCGAACTTGAAGATGCTGGTGAAATTAAACTTGAGTGGCAAAATTAATTTCGTGAAATTTGGTGAAATTGATTTCTAGACGAATCTGAACCAAATCGAACTTTAGACAGGCTCGGATTCAGGTCTGAATATTAAACTTCAGGCTTGGTTCGAGTCTTGTTTGAGCCTGGTCCGAAAGTTTGCAAACATGTTTGAAAGTTCGGACCCAATAGAAATTTGTACATTAAAAAGTAAACATTCATGAACTTAGACTAATAGATGCTTTTATACTAATTTAACGTGAATAAAATGAAATTTAATAGTAAATATTTATGAGCTTGAATAGATATTTTGAATATTTAGATTAAATAAATATCCTTTTTATTTACTTTAATCTAGTTAAAATGAAATTAAAATACTTAGAATAATAAACAAATATTTACTACGGTATTTAATTTTATTTTAATTGTGTTAAATTAGATGAATATAAAGTGCATTCATTATGCAAGTATTTAAAATAAGCGATTCAGATTCATGAATATTTACTATTAAATTTTCATTTTATTTGCATTAAATGAAAATGAATAGAACTAATTTTTAAATACTTAAATAATGAACGTTCTAAATACTCATCGTCTAAATTAGCGCAAATAAAACTATAAAATGAAATTTAATAGTAAATATTCATGAACTTGGATCGATTATTTTAAACTTCTTAGATTAATAGACGCCTTTGACACTTATCTCCAAATTAATGCGAATAAAATGCAATTAAATCGTAAGTATTCATGTAATTGAATTGCTTATTTTAATATTTTTATACTCATAAACTGAATTAATATCAATGTTTATGTACTAGGTACGACATAAGCTTAAGCAGTAACATCATTTGAACATTATTGGAACGATTCGCCTGCATCTCTAGTCTAATTTTCTCCTGGTTTGTCATGAAACTGGGACTTAAATAATTATTGATATAAGCTTTATTCATTGGTATCACCAACCACATCTCACAATGTGCCCATTTATTTAGTGTGTTTCATATGCCTTGACGTCATTAATAGTTTAAATCATAGATGCAATACTGTAATAAGATTGATTGTTACTCATACAAAATAATCGGCTTGCAAATTACCTATTTGGGTTATGGTCCAGCAAAAACACTGTTCTCGACTTTTTCAAAAATTCTGAGATTTTTCAGTTAGATTAAAATGTAAATTCTTGTTTATATGTAGTTTGCTTTTTAACCTATGGATTTATAATTTATTGAGATATTATACTTTAAAGTTGAACAATTATCGAAAGGTTAGTGTTCTAAAAATCAAGGGTAAAAATTAGGTTGCACAAACATTATTTCAAAATTCAAAATATGCGTGAGAACAGGACTATGACCCATTTTTCTGGCCCGGCCCGCGTATATATAGATTTCACGAACCTAGCATGACCACCAAGATCAGTTATGTACGGAGTTTCAACGATTAATATGACGATTTCTGTACTATTAATACGTAAATAATCTGTAAGAAGGAACCTTGATTTTCTTTTTTCCATATCTAAAAATTTTTGCTATACATCAAAAATCAACAATAAAAAGATCTGTATTAAACTGTTAAAAGAAGTATAGATTCAGGGAACGCACGGCGCGATAATTTTAAAAAAGAGTGGGAAATCTTAATATACATACTATAAAGAACACTGAAAAATGTCAATAGAAAATAAGCAGTGCATATTTCTTTGTTCTTATTTTGTTAATAAGCAGTTTTTTTTTATTAATCCTCTTGGAAATGGATGTTTATTTTTCGAAGGTATATTTATTATATGCATTAATTAAATAATAGTTTAGATTAATGAAATTCGAATGAACAACCAAATAAGAGATAATATGTACATTAACACCAATTGATTATTTGAATACGAATTCAACTATTTCTTATAGTTGAA